ACTTCAGTGGATTTACAGCAGTGGAGAATTTGGCCCACTCTCTGTCAAGTGAAGTTATAGCCCGGCAGTCATGGTGGTGGTGTTATGGCTCTAATTTGTCCAACCTTTATTTTGCTGAAGGGTGGGAAAGGTCCGCACCTTTCCCGAGAGCTCTCTCATCCTTTTTCAAAAGACGTTAATGCACTAACCTTGAGAAATGAGGTTAATTCAGCCTATTTTCTGCCTTGGAAAATACAGCAGGTGCAGAATGCGACAGCTTGTGTTCTGCTTGTTAAGCAGGGATTTGTGCAAAGGCTATAGTCTGTCTCTGCTGCAGGGCCCGCACTGGCTGCTTCTCTGTCTCTGGGTGGATTTTGGAGGTGTGTGTTAATGCCTGATGCCCAGCTATCTGAGAGATGACCTCGGCCTCTGTTGTGTTTCCAAGACAGTTGAGCTGACGGCGTCTCTGTGATAAAATGTTGAGCAATCCAGGAAAAGCCAAACCTCTACTGACAGCACAGTTGGTTTGGGACAGCAGTTTCTGTCCCAGGATTACAGAGCCTGGATTCAGTAAATGTCAAAAACGAATTTTTAGTGTGAGTCAGGGAGATAATGATTTGGGCAACATCTCTTTTGATGTTAACTAGGGGTAGGGTTCGACTGCCTTATTCCCATCCAAGGCAAGGTAGCCCTTTTTGATTGCACGGTAAATAAAAAATACTGGCATTTTCAAAATGTGAAAAGGAAGATGTTTAAAAGAAATTGAAGGCATTTTCTGAACACACATTCTGGCAATAAATGTTTGAAGTGATGTTTGCGTTGAGATCTAAGCTTACAAAGTGTAGTAAAAAAGCTTCAGATTGAACAGCCATAAAAAATCATGTGATGCATGCCTTTTGCAGAAGTTGCTGCATAAAATGTTGAGTGGACCCAGAATTCTTTTGAGCATGAAACCAGCTTAATTCTTTTGCAGATACAAAGAGCGTTCACTTCGTTTTGGTTTATTTTACTAGGGCAGTCCACCTAGGGCCACTCATTATGTGAAGAAACAGGGAATCAGAAAAGCAGAAAGTCTCTTCCAATCCCCGAATAAAGTGTAGCTCAGAGAGCACTACCAGTCTAAAATCTGGAAAGACAAAATGACCATAAAAAGTCAGGATGGTTTCTTCACTGCAGAATAGTGCTTGCTTTGTAAAAAGTCAGTGTAAATGTGGTTTGTTAGTGTTTGGTTAAACTTTCTTTTTCTTCTTTAACTGTCCAACGTATTTTATGTGGCTTTATTCAGCTACCAAAAATGCTGCATTTGTTGCTTCTAAGTAACACTATTAGCACTTCTAAATAACTATATCCATAGCCACATAATGCTTTGATACATATCTCTAATGAAAATGGGTAAATTATCCATTAAAAAACCCGGCACTTCTTCACAATTTTCTGGCATAAAATACAAATCTGTTTCTTAAGCTGCAAAATTGCTTAAAGAATGTGCGGACTTGGGAATAATCTTAGTGTAGGAGTTTGTTGTTAATTAAAAAGTAGCATGTTTTGGTTACCAATCAAGTAGAATCAACCTCTCTTTGGGAAAATATCTAAAAATCCATTTAGTTAAGATAAATCTATTAGTAAACCCAACATTTTCCTGCTCAGTGATCTAAATCAGTCGTTTTAATTACTTTGACTAAATTCTGCCCTCTCTGCATGACTGCTTCTGGTTCTGTGACTTCCCCAAGCTAGAGGAGAAGACGACATACGCTTGAGCCTGGTCATTGGTGTGCATCTGCTCTAGATCACCCCAGGGAGGTGGCCCTGCACTGAAACTGCCTGTTTTGGATCATATCATGGACTCACCTCTATTACATAGAGGAGATCTTTGTCTATGCCTGCCCAGTGGCATTTTACCTGAGATAAAACAGCTGTAAGAGTGGCCTGAACCCTTTGTGGCTGTTTGCTGTCATAAGAACATAAAACCAGCTCTGTCGAGTCAGAGCAAAGCCCATCTTGCTCAGCGGCGTGCCTAGGACCAAGGTCATCAGCCGGCACCTTGGGGAAGGAGACTGAGAACATAGAAAACAGTGAGCGATATGGCCCTCGAGCACTCTTCTGGCCTGCAGCGACATGTAGCCTTGGGACTTCCTGAAACACATGGTGTCTTTGTGCTTATCAGTCTTCTGGGGATTTTTTTTGGTGCATTTTTGCAGGCTGTGATTGATTTGGGTCCTTTGGTTTTTTTTCTCCAGTTGTTTTATTCTGTTCAGTCAGGTTCATCTGGCCATGCTTAATTTGTAGGGTGCGTGTGTGGCAGTACAGGTAAGCAAAGAATAATTGATGCAATGATGTGAATATAGAAACTGGATCTGAAAGCATAAAAGATGAGAGGTGCAGAATCATTAAGCTGAGTGCCCTGCAGAATGTGTTCAGGGTAGACTGACAAGGACTTTCTTTCCAGATCTAATGATATTGAAGATTTAATGGGCAGTACTTGGAGACAGAATTTATTCTTCTGTGCTATTGATGCCCTCGTAATTTGTGAGTGGCAGACTAAAGTGAGCCATAAAGGACCGTGGAAGGGCCATCAATAACCAAATAAGAAAAATAATGTACATCCTCTAAACACAGGCAGTAGTGAGTGCTGATAAATGAGCTGCAGAAAGGTAAAGGCACGGTTGAGGCAGTTGACAAAAGAGCAGGAAGGGAGGGTCGTGGCCGTGGCTGGTGTTGAGGACCATTCCTCAAAACCTCTTCAGGCATTTGCAGTGTTGGGCCAGGGAGCCTGTGAAGACCCCTGAAGCGATGCAGCACTTCCCATGGCTGCTGTTTCCTCAGCTGAGCTGGGAAGCTGGGAGGAAAGTGTGAGGACCTGTGAGCTATGCCAGTCGATAGCCAGCAGCACCGATGCTTGGCCTGGAGGCTGTGGCTAACACGTTGGCAGAAGACAGGACTTTGCTCTGACGAAGAAAGATCTGCCTGAGAGTATGTAGCTGAGACAGGCAAAATCGACATCTTCTGGTGTCATCTCTAGGATCAACTCAGTGCTCCCAGTGAAGAGAAAGAAAGAGAGAGTGCGGGCACTAGTGCCTGCGTGAGTGAACTTGCTGTCTCTCCAGCTCATCCTAAACGGGTGGTGTTCACCTTGCACAATGGCACCTTGGTCGTCACTGTGTATCCGAGTGATTATTCTTGCTGGAGGAATGACCAGACATTGAGGGCCTTGTGAGTTTAGCTGGGATTGAATCAAGCACAAAATATTTGGATGTTTAACTGCGCTTTTCATCCAAGTCCACAAACAAACAGATTAAATTTCCCTCTTCCCTGTGAGATGGCTAGACACTGCTGGCTGCACTTTGTACCTAGGGAAAACAAAGCAGGAGGGAGCTTAGATGGTGTGCTGAAAGTCATGGCACGAAGCACTGGCAGAGTTAAGACTATTACCTGGTGTTCAACTCCATAACCACAAGGCATGTTAGTCAGAACACGTTACTTGAATATGCAGTGACTGAAATTTAAAAACGGTGTGCTTATTAGCACATTTTCTGTAAATGCTGAGGAAAAAACGCATAAGCTATAACTGTTGATTCCATTTCTTCATAAAGGCTCTTTTTCTCTTCTCCTCCACACTAGACCTCTGACTTGGATTGAAGAAAGGGGACCAGGAATGAGACGTGAAAAGAAAATCAACTTCTGTTTCACAAGTGGTTGCCTGGAGAACTTCCCTCAAGCTCCGAGGTCTGCTGTGGGCCTTTTCATGCAGGATCAGAACCTCTTTGCCAAAAAACTACTGGGCCAGGTATCCAGGGAGGAGCTGGCTGCTGAGAAATGGCGAATTTTGCGGTGTCTTGACCTTGCCGAGGTGATCCAACAGCACTGTGAACAGCCAGAGAAAATCTGTTCCTGAGACTGTTCTTGGGGAAGGAGGAACATGGCAGACGGGAAAGCTGTAGGGCTAGAGCTCACTGTTGCCATCCAGCAGTTGCTATTTCTGTTTTATTACCTTCTTTTTAACTCGCTGTGACTCCTAGGCTCTCCAGGTGGGCTGGAGAGCCTGGGCTATACCCCCTTGCCTTCTGGCGTGTGCCAGCACAAAGCAACGTTACTCTGCTCCAATGCATTGCTGTCCTTCCAGGCAGATAGGAACCTAGGAGCAACGAGCTGTCCTGTGGTTGCTTCCACTCAGCTCAGTTGGAAATGTCCCCGAGAACAGGTCCTGGAGGACTGCAAATACTGGACATCATTTTCCCTCTTGTGTTTTTGTTTTCCCCGCTCTGTTCAGAGATGTTTGGAAATGAGATGTGTCTCATTTAGTGGTATTCATGTAGTATTGTCTAGAAAGAAGTATTAGCTAGAATGAAGGTGTCGGTGAATTTTCCACCCCTTTACTTGATCTGCAGAACTTGTGTCACCACAGTCCTGACCTTTTCTTCAAGATGCCTGGAACTGTTCTGTGTGTTTGCTCTAATTAGTAGTTGTGCCTGTTTGTTGGGTTTTTTTGTTTTGTTTTTGGTATTTTTTTTCACACTGGAAATCATCTGCCTTCAAACAGAATCTACATTGGTACCAAACCAGAACAGATGAAATATCTTGTCTCTTGATAGATACCATGTTGAGTTCACTCACTTAATTTCTCTGGTGCCCTGTGCCAGCAGAGAAACCTTTTTTCCAGCGGAGATTAGAACAGTACATTAAACTAACACATCGCTTGCCTGCTTTCCCCTGAATCTAAATATTTTTATTTTTTCGTACTGGAAGCAGCATGTTATTGTCCTTCATGTGTGTTCTGCATCTAATTCAGCATGTGAATGGATCACTGCTAAAAATAATATACATCCTGACTTTAAGAAAAAACCCCACCTAACGTTCTCCTGGAAACAGTGAAATTAAGTAGAAATAGTGATAGAATTAGACTAGAACTGTAGAAAATGGAGCAATTTGCAAACATAGCCATGTGGTTATGGTGTATGACACCTGTGGGGATGGGTCTTTAGCATTTTACAGTCGTCCCAGGGTCACGTATGAAGACATTCTCACTTCCCTAAAGAAACATTTTAGTTTTAGGAAAAGCCTAAACAGTGCATGAAACTATTAACAATTCCTCTGTTTGCCTTTTACTTTCTAATTACAGCATCTGTTGGTGCTGTACTAATATAGCAGCAAACTTCAGTCTGCGCAGTTGTTCTTTTAAACACAGAACCGTCGTTTCTTTCCTATGTTATCACTTGAGCAATTTTTTAATAAGGGAGCATAAATGTTGTGAAATGAGTACATAATTACAGCCAGTCAATACTGATGGGAGAAAATCTTCCTTTAGGTAAATCACATTCGTTCAGAAGCTGGATGCTTCAGTTAGTTTGAAACAGGGATGGAAAGACTGTGTATTTTTTTTTCCTAAATCAGTCAGATTTTAGGAGGAACTGGAGCTTGATATGTGAATGAATTCCACATGCAAAATTTTTTAAAACCTCCTCCTGTTGACTTCAATGGATTGAAACCCACATGGGTTTCCGGCAGATCGTGCACTTGTCCACCCAAATGGACACCTTTACTGAACGCTCGCAAGGACGTCTCTACCAAGGTGACGGACATTGCCTGGGCAGATCTGATGCTGTATGAGGGGAAAAAGTGGGTTTGTGGCAAAATGCAATACGTCCATGTGGGATCGAAATGAAATTAAAATCTGCTGTGCGTATCTAATTGCTATGTATGGCAGCACACAAGAGGTCCCGTTCCTTGACAAAATTCTCAGCTGTGAATATGGGTGAATACCACTTGTTTACATGCTAATTCACAGCGGGTAGCTGGGGGAAGGGCGAGGGGAAGAGAGATTCACACTCCCCGTCTATAGGCATCAAAATTAGCCACCACGTCTCCCTGGGCATGCTCTGCAGTTGCTGGAGAGAGCAGCATTCCTCTAAGAAATGGGGAATAAATTCACAGGAGCTCTGCAGAGCAGCAGTATAACATTGTGCAGTGAATCACCCTCTGGAGAAGCTTGTTTCTATAGAGAGCGCCTGGGGAAATAAGCTGGTTAATTTGAGCTAGGAAAGGCAGATGTCTAGAGCTGGATATCCATCCTGCGCTTTCTTCCATCCCTGTTCCATTCCTCCCAGCTAACCTGCTTGCCTGCTGCTGTCTGCCCTGCTCCTGGGAGTCTGTGGCATTCAAATGGCTTTTCCTTCGCCCTGTGAATTTGCTGAGGTACTGCAGTGGTTTGTATACAAGAGCTCCTGGATGTCAAGCTTCAAACGTACGTATTGTTTAACCAGATGTCAAACTTGCCAATAAAATATTTGAGCTCTTAATCATTCCTTTTAGTTCCTGTTGTCCTTCATTAGCAGTTCCCATTGCCTGTGCTGAAAGTGGCTCTGTCCTGACCGGTTCCCATCTCCCCTTTCACTCCTCAAGCCCTGTGAAATCCTGCCAGCGGCTACAGGCTGTGATCCTATCCCAAAGCCCTTGGCTGTCTCCCTCTCCTGTTTCAAAGTTTTGAATACAAGTGCGGTGGGGTTTGTGACCTTATCTGAACTTGTGAGCCCTCACACAAAATTCTCTGGTCCTGTCTGACTTCAGCCCAGGAGTGCTGGCAAGTCTAAATCTCAGCTGCACACTTCCAGTTTTCCATGCTGGTGTATTTGAGCAACCTCTTCAAATCTGCTAGGCAGAATCTGAAACAGGTATTGAAATGGATTTTCTTGTGGTTTTAATAAACTGCTTTATCATAGCAGAAATACTATCAGAAGAATTTTTCTGATAGCATTTGGCATAGCCTGAACGCAGGCAGTTTTAAGAGATGCAGAGGTATGAAAAGGTAAGTGTAAGGTGCCACATGGGCAGGTTGGTATGTCACGTTCTCCGGAGGCAGCTGCTTTTCTGCTCTTTCTGCTGGAAATCACCCTGCTCCTGTGGGACGCTGTGGGAAGTCCGTTGCGGTACACTTCATTAACTCTGCCTGATGCTGTGGAGTTCTTACGGGAAGTGCTGTATTGCAAAATGCTCCTGCGTGAAGGAGTGATGCTCAGTTTGCTGACACAGGCTGGAGCTTGTCTCTGGCAGCTGAGAGGCATGGAGTCACTAGTTGCAGCACGCTAGCTGAAACCTGGAAGAGGTGGCTTGACGCAAAGGCCTTTTCAGAGGGCTAGATATCAGGGGAATGGGAATCTTCCAAAAAGCAAATAAACCAGCTATTGGTACGAGGACTGTGGGGGAAGCTCTGGCTGAGGGGGAAAGAAGGTGGATATGACTTTGGGATCAAGTGCTTGCCTGAGAGCTTGTTCTGTAGAGGCTGGGAGTGGGGTCTAATTTAGCTGTGTGATTCAAGAAACATGAGGAACTACTACTTTCATTCAAGAAAGATGAGGAACTACTGGAGAGAGTTCAGCGGAGGGCTACGAGGATGATGAGGGGACTGGAGCATCTATCCTACAAGGAGAGGCTGAGGGAGTTGGGCTTGTTTAGCCTGGAGAAGAGGAGGGTGAGAGGGCTTTTCAGTGGTGCCCAGTGACAGGACAAGGGGCAATGGGCACAAACTGAGGCACAGGAAGTTCCAGCTGAACATGAGGAAGAACTTCTTCCCTCTGAGGGTGACGGAGCACTGGAACAGGCTGCCCAGGGAGGTTGTGGAGTCTCCTTCTCTGGAGATATTCAAGACCCACCTGGACAAGGTCCTGTGCAGCCTGCTGTAGGTGACCTGCTTTGGCAAGGGGGTTGGACTAGATGACACACAGAGGTCCCTTCCAACCCCGAACATTCTGTGATTCTGTGATTACTGAGGACTGTCAGGAACAGTATGGGAGCATGGGAGGTGGTATGAGGGAAAAGGCGAAGAAGACTGGGGCACACTGCAGGAGCTGCCTGGGCTGGTGTTATGAGGACATTGTCATTGGAGCCCCCAGAGCAGATCAAGCAGACAGGGAAGGCAGAAGGCAAAGGGCAGCAGCTGTGTAGACCAGGGCTGGTTTTCAAATGGTCCTAATATGTCAAAACTGGCTGTTTTAAAGTGAGTAGTACGTATGGCATCTGAGTAAAACTGCAGCACTGAGTTACAGAAAGCACTTTGGGGATTGCAGGTCCTCCAGCAGTCTGTGGAGGGGTCAAGGTTGTAAAGACTGAACTGTGCATATGTTTTCAGCTGTCACTCAAGATGTTTGATTCCTGCAGGTTGGCACTATGGTCTGGGGCCTCGGGCACCCTCACAGTTTGCTGGTGAGTGACCCACCAAAGGTGATCCTGACTGGATGTCTGGCTCCATACCGATGTCTCCAGTGAGACTCACAGAACTGTGTGCTGATGTGCTTCGTGCGGTAGCATTTACGGCTCCCCAAGGTACGCAGTATGCTCTGTGCAATAGCAATAAAACATAGTACCAGGAACCAAGGATCTCCAGTAAAATGACTCCAGATGTCTGACAGGCAGCAAGATACTTGGTTAGCCTTAAGTGTTGTAAGCTGGTGTCTGCAGAGGCTGGATTAAATGAGGTTACAGGACTCTGTTGAGAGACCTGTTAGAGTTTTTGCTTAAAGAAGGGATGTAGCACAGGTATTATCAGTGCAAACTTCAGCCCTAACCCAGAAGAACTGAGCATTGCAATAGGGAGACAGGAGATGCCCATGAAGTACAATGTGATGCTCTACAAAACACCGGGGTCTGCTCTGGCTGAGCTGCCTCGGGTACCGTGAGGACCGGCTTGTGGTGTAATTTCACCCATTTATCCCCATGTGCCCTGGTTCTCAGCAGAGCATGCTGACCTACGTGGAGCCTGTAGCTAACTCGTTAGGCCATGTAGACATGCCCGCAGGTCAGCCCTAAGAGCCCACTTGGCTCCTGGCCTGCCAGCATCGGTAGGATCTTTCTCCTGTTCACACTTACCTGTTGGGCAGCAAAGGGAACCCAAACACGGCTTCCAACCTGTATCTTCTGCTTTCTTGCTGACCCAGCCTGGTTTTCTTACCCTTCAACAGAAACAAGGCTCAGGAGGCACAGGGCTGGCGCATGGTGATGCCCATAAAGCTGGGAGAATCCTCCCAGTGTTACAGCTGGCAGAGCTCCAGGCTTAGCACTTGTCTTCCATGTCTTGGCAACAAACACGCCTTACTGGGGCCCAGCTGCATGCAGATAAATAAGGAAGGAGACTTCAAAACAGTAATTTAAGTAAAAAAATACCATCATGAGAAGCTCTGAATAACTGCCTGCAGATACGCATGCTAGCTTTCACAGCAATAAATGCATCCTGGTCTAATAAAAACCACTTGG